AATTAAGCTCCAACCATAATCAAATGCAACTGAACCAGCTAATCAATTTCTTTAAGAGTGCTAGAAACCTCCAGGCAAGTGTGTTGGAGCCACACTCTCCAGAACAGTGGCCCTCCAGGAGCTAAGTTTGACACATGTGATCTAGGAGGTCCATTAGGTTTTATTTACTTAAAGGGGTCATATGATGCTGCAAAAAAGAACATTATTTTGTGTATTTGGTGTAATGAAATGTGTTTATGCGGTTTAAAGTAAAAAAAACACATTATTTTCCACATACTGTACATACTGTACATTATTCATACCTTTCTGAAACGTCGATTTTTACAAAGCTCATCGGTCTGAAAAAGCGAGGTGTGCTCTGATTGGCCAGATATCCAGTGCGTTGTGATTGGCCGAATACATCAAGCGTGAGACGGAAATGTTACGCCCCTCACCATACTGTTGATGCCGTGTCCGGCCGGAGCGACGAGACATAAACATTAAAACCCATCACAAACGAGGCATTTGTTGCATCCAATGGGGACATAATTACTGATTATAATGACTTATACTGTCGTTTTACGCGTTGCGTTGCATTGCGCCGCGTAAACATAAAACCCTGTCTGCATTTGTGATAAAGAAAGGAAAAAATGAAATCGCATCATATGACCCCTTTAACTTCTACGCCATAGAGTGACTTGTTCAGTAGAGTACATGGGTCTGTAGTCACTTGGTAATTGAGATAGAGGTAGATTGGAATGTCATGTGCCTAAACTTTATTTGTATTAGGTGCATGTAGACATGGAACTAGAGAGGTCCAAGGATAGAGCCCTGTGGGACTCTGCATGTCATTGAGGTTCACACAATTATAGCGGCCTATGTTAAAGGGATAGTTCACCCAGACATGAAAAGTCTGTCATTTATTCACCCTTGTGTCATTCCAAACTTGCATGACGCTCTGCAGAACACAAAGAAGACATTTTGATACAATGTATATTTTGGTTACAGTCGGACAAAACACTGAGACTTTTCTCAGATTAGCCTATCTTCTTTTACATTACACAGGCGAAAGAAAGGGGAAGATTGATACAATTTTTGACAGAATTTGACAACAATTTCCACATTTTACTTAAAATTGCAAATAAATAAATCAATTTGAACAATCTGTGTTTGTTGCAGTGCAGCCAAATGACCTTTGAGGGCAGTAAAATCACATTTCATATAATGTTACGGCAGTTACCCATTTCAGTTTTGTCATTTTAAATGAAATAAATGGTTCTGTTTGGATCATTTGTGGCCTGGTGTTGGGTCCAGCTAATAGTTCAATCGTTTGATTTGGAAAGGCATATCCCATTGCCAGTGTAATGAATACCTGGGAGTAAGGCTGTGCAAAAAATCGAATCGTAGATCACTGACAAGCTACACAAAATCGTGTTCAAAATCGGCAATGAATCGCCTGCGATTTTGAACGCGATTTTGTGTAGCTTGTCGGTGATCTATGGCTCTGTGTAGTAAATGCCGCTCCATCTGAAAGCACGTGCTGTAGATTTACTACTAATCACCAGAAGCGGCTTTACTGATGAATGAATCACCTGCGATTTTGAACGCGATTTTGTGTAGCTTGTCGGTGATCTATGGCTCTGTGTAGTAAATGCCGCTCCATCTGAAAGCACGTGCTGTAGATTTACTACTAATCACCAGAAGCGGCTTTACTGATGAGATGTGATGAAAATCGCATTCGATTTTTTGCCCAGCCCTACCTCCGAGCCATGGCCCAGTTTAAAGTTGACCGGAAAACATGGTTGACTGAACTCCCTGCAAGGATCACAGGAGTGTGGTTTCCCCTCAGCCCAGTTTGTTATGGCCTGGAGGAGCAGATCACATGGCGAATTTTGCATTCTTCAGGGTTTCAGCAGACAGTCATCTGAGAAATCTTCCCATGATTCCCAGAATGAGGGGTGGAGGCCTGACTCTGGAATATTATCAGACTTTTGGCCTTGACCTCTCAGAGCGACCATGTGATTCTTTAATCTTCGCCTGGACACCCTAAGCCTCTTCATCTTCATGGCTCTCCTCTTCCTTATCCGTCATTTGAAGGGTTTAAAGATGAAATTATTCCTGGTGTCACAAACTCTCTTTAACCACCATACATATGTGAGTAAGACTTTGGCAGACTCTTTGGCAACTGTTGTGTGTTTTTACCTATTGTTTGATTAAAACTTAAAGTTCATAGTTCTAGGTTAATAATGCTCTTCGTGGTCTTGAAGTTGTTGTTTTTTTTTTTTTGGTTG